GGCCATTTGGTTTTATGTCTATACTGTCTCTTTAAATTTCAATGTCAATCTTGATACAATCCTGATATAATCCTGATATAATCTATATTAGCTCTTGGAATTTACTAAGATATGGATTATACAGCTTTGGGGAATGCAAAGGGTATGAAGACTTGTTATAAACAGCTGTGTGTTCCAGCAGTTTGGTTGTAGGCCCCTTGTTAGTGCATAAATGAGTTACTCTAAGTGTTATATGTGGGCAGTCGCCAAGCTTAAATACATATGTTCTTTTAAAATGTATTTGTAGATTGGTTATAGGGAAATTATGACACATTTTACCTTAAAAATATTTTTTCAGAAACATGGAATTACCCCCACAGCCCCCCATCCCCCCAGGCCAGTCCACAGAACCTTATTTAATCAACAGCACACTTAAAGTGGTCCTGTATGTTAATAGTACTGGAACTGGTTGTGGCCTTGGCCCTGAAGCATGACAACTGCAAACTCACTTCACACTGAATTTAAAAGCAGTCACTTTTTCCTCAGGCACTGCCCTGTGCCTTGCTGCATTCCTGTCCCTCCACAAAGGGCCCTGTTTCCAGACTTAAGGTGCCTGTAACCAAGTTGGCCAGACCTCCTATCTCAGATTCTGTGATCCCAAAGGACCTACAACTCTTCCTTTCACTGGACTCTTCTCTCCTAAATAGAGTTCCTTCTGTTTTGGAAGATGGGGACAAAGAGGGAGGCAGGTAGGGAGGGAAGAATGCTAGAATGGGAAGAGGAAACAATATATAATAATTACAGTTTTATATTAATGTATGACTTTCTTCTCTCCTAGTCACTAACTTCCTTTTCTGTTGCAAATCCAAAAGTTCTGTCTGTCTTCCTGTAGGGTCAGTTGTGGCTTTTTACACATTCTCTTTCTCTTCTTCTGAAATAACATAGTTTCTAAATTCAGTTGCATGTTTTTTGACAACAGCTCCAGTGACAAGTGCAGCCAGGGCTCTGCTGTGGGGAGGGGAGAGGGAAGGGCAGAGTGTGTGGGAGGCTGTCTGGATCTGCAGACACTCACCCTGCCACTGGAGCAAGCTGTTCTAGCAGCACGAAAGGTTATAATACTTCCATACCAGTGGTTTGTGATCTTGTTTTTCTTGAACCCAGCCTCTTCTTTTGGAGGGAATTACACACCTGCATCTGCTTAAAGATACCTCTCTTCAGAGGTCCCTTGGGTGCTTCAAAACAAAGCTTCAGAAGCAAACTCACTCTACTGAGAAACAGGTCAGTATAATGAAGACTCAGAAGGAAAGCCAAGTTCACCCAGGAAACTTAAGTCATGTCTGTCAGGTGATGGCAGGAAGGACCAGGAAAGAGCCGAAATGACAACAGAAAAGAGGCTGGATAACAAGTTGTCCCTGAGACCAAAGGAAATCAGAATTTCAAGACACATTTGGACAGTAATGTCAAGGGTGTCCAAAAAGTTCATCCGGAATTCTTTTTAACCCAGCTTTAATCTCTTTGTTTTGGCTCACCACAGAGTAAACCCTGGCTATTTTGCTACTGCCCATTTAGGTAAGACACTTAAATAACCCAAGAGAAACAAGCAGGGGGTAGGACTGGAGATTCTCATTTTTCACACATCTCTTAGGCTTAACTATAAATAAAATCCTTTGATATAAAAAGAGTAAATGACCTGATTTGCCCCATCACCAATATTTTCTCCACCTAGCAGTCAAAGTGATCTTTCTACAGTGTCACTTCTCTTGTCAAATCCCTTCAATGGCTTCTTCTAATGATACTGAAATAATACCCACACACCAAAGGCCTACCAGGTCCTGAGTGATTTGGCCCTGCTTGCTCTATGTACAACTTGCTGTGCCTCCAGGCACACTTACCTCATGCCATTTCTTGTTCTTGTAAAAGGAAATATTGCCTGAATTATCGAAAACAAGTCTTTCATTCATTAAAAAGTATGTATTTATTGAATGGGTACATATGTTGGACCCTGGGGATAAAGTAGAAGACAAGGTGGACACAATCTGAAAAGTAGCCCAGGACAAAGAAAGAGGACAAAGCTTATGTTCAGGAGAAATGTTAAGATTGTATGATAACGTGTTGGTCCACAAGTACATATGTGACACATATCCTGTCAATAGGAATCATGGTGGCTCCATGCAACAAGCACTGGACTGTGAACCGTAAGGTTTGTGGTTCAAGCCCACCAGCTGCTCCACAGGAGAAAGATGAAGCTTTCTACTCTGTCAAAGATTTAAAACCTTGGAAACTCTATACAGGGTCGCTATGAGTCAGAAGTGACGTGACATCACTTAACAACAACAGCAATCATGTCAATAAACTTAGAGTCACAAAATGTTTGAGTCATATCATGCCTGCTTCTGTATAGACTGAAACATAGATAACAAAGAATAAAAACGGACGAGGGCACAAGAAAAGAAGAGAAAGAAATAGGTCAGTGATGTTCTATTTTCCAAAAACTTGATTAATGGAAATTGCCCTTCTTATTCAATAGAAGGTGTGATTATTATCATATTGTGCTGGTTGTATGCCATTGAATTGGTTTCAACTCATATTGACCCTGTTTAGGGTTTCTGAGGCTGGTCAAGTTCTATAGGAACAGAAAGTTCCATCTTTCATACTTAACTAAAAAAGAAAAAGTGGCAAAATATATACATTCAAGTAGCTAGGCCATATAAAATGATCCCCATGGAAAGCTCTATATTTATTTTAATGATATTGCCAGTCCTCAAAACACTAAAAAAAAAAAAAAATCCCCTTTTTCAAATAGTAGCAAGAGATAGTTTATTTAGCATGGAAAAAAGAAAACATTTAACTTTATATTTTATCCCAAATTGTATTCCCCAGATTAATTTCCTATTATATTCCCTGGATTTACCTTCACTGGATTTATCTGAGATTGTTTAAGAATTAAATCCATTCCTAAAGGACTAAGATTTCTCATACTTTGCATATACTTAGCATTTTCCAAACAATGGTCACTTTAGTCTCTCTTCAGAGAAGAGTTCCAAACACATTTGAATAAAGAATAATTTTCTCAGTGACAACTGTGATGAAGATAACTTTCACCTAGGTAAATAGTTAAGTCAATTAATCTGGCATCACTAAAAAAAGGTATTCTAGATAATATGCTAACTGATCAAATAATAAAAGGGAAACATAATATAGAGTTTTTGTTGTTGTTGTTTTGTTAAAATATTATAGACTCCCACCAATCATTGGCCCAGGTGAATCTTAGTAGTACAAGCACCACATGGAGTCTTATTTTTAATAAAAGTACCAAATACAATTTGGGTTCCATTCCTCCTCCTTTCACAAACTAGTGCTATGACTTCAAGCAAGTCATTTAACCATTTTGGTCCTAAACTTAATCACCTAAAAATGAGGTAATGGAATGACAAGGGAAAGACATCTTGTGATTCTATTGTTATTATAATATGTAGGATCATGATGGTTCAAACATAGAGAGAATCCAAACCCACTGCTGTCGAGTCTATTCCAACTCATATTAACCCTAAAATGCAGAGCAGAACTGTCCCATAGAGTTTCCATGCTATAAATCTTTACAGAAGCAGACAGCCACATGTCTCTTTCATGGAGACGCTGGTAAGTTCAAACTATTGATCGTCCAGTTAGTAGGCAAGTCACTTAACCACTTGAGCTACGAGGGATCCTTACATATGAAATTGTTGTTGTTTAGTGTTGTTGAGTTGCTTCGGACTCATAGCAACCCTGTATAAGATTTCTGAGGAGCGGCTGTTGGGTTTGAACTGCCGACCTTGTGGTTCGCAGTCCAGTGCTGATCCTACAGTGTCACACCAGGAGTTCCTAGATCTGTAGTGACTTAAATATGAAAAATTTTTGTAAGAAATGATTTTTGACTGTACCTTTCATTTTTCAGTGTTACAACTTCTTCCTTTGTCTGATTCAGAAGAGTCTTCATTATTTCAAGTTCATTTTCTGCAAGGTTAATTTTTCTTTTCATGTCCTCTTCTTGCCTTTCTTTTTCAGTAAGTTGTTCCTGTACAGTTTTGTATATTTTCTGACACGCCGTTAAAGATTCTTCTTTATCTTTAAGCTGTCTAGTGTGACTAAAAGATAATTAAAAACAAACAACCCAAACCACAAACATGTGATATGATATCTTTATGTTTGTATCAAAGATATATGAAAAGGCCATTTGAAATTATAGAGTATTACTTTAAACTGTAAAAAAATAATAATAAATATGTTAAGAAAATCGATAGTTTCATGATGTTAAAATCTTCCTAGCTAGGCAGGAAGCAAAATCAATAAGACAACTATAAGACATCATAAATGCAAATTGGGTATTTTACAGGTAAATATAATAAGAAAAGCTAAATACTTCTAAATAAAATCCTTCAAGTTCAATTATTAAATTCAAAAATTTTTTGCAATGTTTACCGTGATTCAGAAATAATAGATTCAAACTTCATTTTTCTAAGTTTTCTTTGACAGTCATCAGCTTCATTAGATTTATTCCTAAAATAATAAAAAAGAGATTTAAGTATATAATTTCAAAATAGTTAAATTTTATATCATTACTTTATCCATAGTTAGTAGGACTATCATATTATTTAATTAAGGAAATATACATATATACACTTCTGTGATGGCCAAATAAGTTCCTATTAGACTAATCTTACCTTAAATAAAAGATTAAACTATGAGCAATATTAAAGTAAAGATAAAACAACAAAAAACAGAGCTAGGTAAGGACACTAAAGATTGTGCAAAAAGCAACCAGATTCTAGATGGGAGTTAACACTTGGAATGAGGAGACATCATGGGATCAGTTTTTGGTTTTATATTTGTGTTTTTATAGATCTTAAACATGAGGTCAGTGGTCAAACCCACCAGTTGCTCCCCAGAAACCCTATACTGAGCCAGAAGTGACTGGAAGGCACTTAGCAGCAACAAGAAGCCTGAGTGCAGGCTGCAGTGTGCACCATATATGACAGATGAAACTCTAATAGAAAACTGGTAGAAAGCTCAGTCTTTCTGGCCTATAGAGCCAGAGAACAGAGTTTGGGGCAATTACAGATGCTAGAAAGTAAAGGTAGACTCTTCAGTGGAAGAAAACCAGAGAGAGAGAACCTCAAAGACTGCATATAAATTCTACCCAAATTTCTAGGAAGTCTAGGAAGACTCCAAGCATACTAGCTACAGATAAAATAACTGCGATTTGAGCTGCCACTCTAGAGGCCTAACAGCTTTAAACAATAACATTCTTCGGAAGACTGTAAGAAACCCAGAGTCTTCACAAGACAGCACTCAAATTGGCTGGACTATAACAAAAACTATTCAACAATCAACGAAAGAGAAAGGTATGACCTAGTCTCAATAAGAAAGTGCTAATGACCCAGATATTGAAATTAAAAGTCAAAGTTTTTGAAGGAGTAATTATAACTCTGCTAAAAGATTAAAAAAGAAATTCTGCTCTAGTTAATGAAAAGATAGAAACTCTCAGCAGAGAAACAAAAACTATAATAACCAAATCTTCTAAAACTGAAATCAACATTTGCCTTGATCTTATAATTATGGTTTCACATCAATACTCAAAAGTTTAATATACTAGGAAAGATCAATATTTGGATTTAAATTTCTTACATAGAATGCTCATTAATAAGTTGTCATTGTCTGCATATACTCCAAAATTTCTTATAAACTATATTATGAAATGTCAGGTTATTAATGGTTCTACTCTACTTGCAGAACAACTTTAATTTCTTAACAAATAATAAAATGAAAGGGATAAAGACCAGAAACAATATTCATTTACCACAAACATTTTTTATTATAAAGACATAGAAATAGAAAATGATATAAAACAATTATTTAGTAAAAAAAAAAGTAAAACTATACCTGCTATCTAAAAGTTCTTCATATCCCCAGTCCCAATTATAGTCAACTCTTTGCCTTCTACTAATAATTATTTTCATGGTTTCTTGATTTCCTTTGGGATTTTTATCACCCTGATTTTATTCCTGATCCTATATTTTGGTTTAGCTTATTTTTTAAATGTGTCTTTTAAGTTTCTATCAACTGCTTTTTGTATTATGACTTGAATGATGAGTTATTTTATGTTGTTATTGTTAGGTGCTATTGAATTGGTTTCAAATCATATCAACCTTAATGTATTAAGTGCCGTCGAGTCAGTTCTGACCCATAGCGACCCTGTACAGGGTTTCCGAGGGTGTAAATCCTTACGGGAGTAGAAAGCCTCATCTTTCTCCCGCGGAACGGCTGGTAGTTTCGAACCGCTGACCTTAAGGTTCGCAGCCCAATTCGTAACCACTACGCTACCAGAGCTCCTTAACCTTAATGTATAATAGGATGAAATAATGCCTGGTCCTGAGCCCACCGTTGCAACCACTGATTTAGGATCTTATTCTTTTTTTTTTTTTTTTTGCTGACCCTCTACTTTACCTTCTCTAGGGACTTGTCTCTCTGAGGTATTACATAGAAATGCAATAAATTGGCATCCTTAAAGGGCACAATTTTGTAGGTTAATTTTGTTGTAAGTTTATGTCTACAAAACTAACAAAATCAAGAAAATGAACATATCAATTATACCCAAGAATTTATTTCATCCCTATTGTAATCCAATCTTCATATTCTTTCTTCTGCTACTCCTTATGCTGAGAACAACTGATCTACTTTCAGTTACTAGAGACGAGTTTGCACTTTCTCTGATATTCTAGAAATGAATCATACAGTAAGTATATCAGGCATCTTTCACACCACACAAACATTTTTTGTTGTGTATATAAATAGTTCAACCCATTTAATTATTGAGTAGTGTTCCACTGTATGGACATACTGGAATTTACTTATCTATTAACTTAGTGGACATTTAGGTACTTTCCCATCTTATTACAAATAAGGCGTCTCTGAAAATTTATGTACTTGTCTTTGTCTAGACATATACTTTCATTTCTCTTGGCGAATATGTAAACATTTTAAGGAATTACAAAACTACTCACCAAAGTAGCTGTGCCATATTACATTCACTCAATAGGTAACAGTTCCATTTTTCTCACATCCTTATCCGCACTTGGTATAATCAGTCTTTTTCATTTTAGTTTTTCTAATTGATATGTGGTTGTATCTCATGTGACTTTTTAGTCTCACTGCTCTAATGACTGTGAGTCCTGGTGTGGTGCCATGGGGTTAGCATTGGACCACAGGTTTGGTTTGAACCACATGGTCAGCAGTTCAAATTCACCAGCAGCTCCTTGGAAACCCTATACAGTGTCACTGTGAGTTAGAACGGACTTGACAGCACTTACCAACAATGACAACAACCCTAATGACTAATAGATGGAAGTTGGGCTACAAACCACAAGGTCAGCAGTTCAAATCTACAAGCCCCTCCAAAGCTTTCTGCTCCCATAAAGATTTCCAGCCTCAGAAAGCCTAGACAGAGTAATTGTGAGTCAGAGCCTACGCCACAGCACATAACCACCACCAGTGACTAATAGGGAGCACGGTGGCTCTATAGGATAAGCACAGAAATGTGAACCACAAGGTTGAAGATTTGAGCCCACCAGCAATTCCATAGGAGATGATGAGGATTTCTGCTGTAGATTTAAAGCCTAGTAAACCCTTTACAGGGATGCTATCAGTCAAAACTGACTAGATGGCACTTAATAACAACAACAGGGACTGAAAATAAGATGGTATGCATGAAGATTGATGTCCTAGGCATTAGAAAGCGGAAATGGACTGGCATTGGCTATTATGAATCTGACAAGCATATGGCTTACTAAAACAGGGATGACAAATTCACTAGGAATGGCATAGCATTCATCATAAAAACAAAACAAAACAAAAAAACATTTCAAGATCTGTCCTGAAATACAATGCTGTCTGTGATAGGATACTATCCATATACTTACAAGTAATATCACTATTATTCAAATTTATGTACCAGTTTCTAAAGCCAGTGATAATGAAATTGAAGAATTCTACCAACTTCTTCCTGGTGTGGCACCATAGGATCAGCACTGGAGTGCAAATGGCAAGGGTGGCAGTTCAAATCCACCAGTAGCTTCTGAGAAACCCTATACTGGGTCTATGAGTCAGAACCGATTTCATGGCAGTTAGCAACAACCAACTTCTTCAGTCTGAAATTCATCAAGCATGCAGTGAAGATGCATTGATAATTACTGGTGATTGGAATGCAAAGGCATGAAAAAAAGAGGAAGGATCAGTAATTGGAAAATATGGCCTTGCTGATAGAAATGATGCTGGAGACAGAATGACAGAATTTTGCAAGACCAACGACTTATTAATTGCAAATACCTTTTTACAACAACATAAAAGGCAACACACGGATGGACCTCACCAGATGGCTTACACAGGAATAAAACTGATTACATCTGTGGGAAGAAACAATTGAGACACTCAGTAATATCGCCAAAACAAGGTCAGTGGCCAACTGCAAAACAGACCATCAGTTGCTCACCTGCAAGTTTAGGCAAAAGGTGAAGAAAATTAAAACAAGTCCATAACAGTCAAAATATGACGATGGACATATATCACTTGAATTTAGCGACTATCTCAAGAACAGATTTGATGCATTAAACACTAATGAATGAAAGCCATGAGTGTTCTGGGATGACACCAAAAACATCATCCACAAAGAAAGCAAAAATGTCATTAAAAAGACAGGAAAGAAAGAAAAGACACAAATGGATGTCAGAAGAGACTTAAAACATGCTCTTAGGCTATTGTTAAGTGTTGTTGAGTTGAGTCAAATTTATAATGACCCTATGCACAAAAGACTTGAAGGCATTTAACAACAACAAATGCACAAAAGAATGGTCTTGCATTATCCTCACAATTGCTGCTATGCTTGAGCCCATTGTTGATGCTACTCTGTCAGTCCATCTCGCTAGGGGTCTCCCTCTGGTTCACCATTCCTCAACTTTACCAAGCATGATGTCCTTTTCCAGGAAATGGTCACTAGTGATAATATGTCTGAAGTGTGAGAGACAAAGTCTGGCCATTCTGGTTTCTAAGGAGCATTCTGGTTGTATTTCCAACACATATTTGTTTG